ACTTTTTCTTTCCAAATCTGGCTTTTTCCAAGTTCATTTGTCAAATCCGAAAGCTCATATTCCTGTTGGGCCTGTTCTGTCAGGACACACTCCTGATTTAATTCCTGGGTGGGCTCCACATATTTTCCCACTGTCTGTTCAAAGTTTCCCACTGCCTGTTCAAAATTTCTAATCCAATTCGCCATCAAATTCGTCTTCTCATGTAACTGTTCCAGTAGGGCATTTGTTTTATAGAAAGCACACAACAGAGCTTCTGAATACATTGTCCTGCAAGGTCAAATGTCTATTCCCACGATTGTAATCTGTAACAGCTGCCGGCTCCCTGGAATTAGTTACAGTTTCACAGTCTCCCTCTAGGGGGAAAACTTCTATTTGTTCTTGCAACAAAGTTTTCCTTTTTGAGATATTTTGTCAATATTTGTTCCTTTAAAATGCGAAAGGGAACAGTGGAATCACTATGTTTCTCTTCTTTTAGCCATCTGTCAAAAACATTTGTCTCTAGTCAATGAGCTTCAAACGTCAGTCCTGACACCCCGTTCCAGGATCAGGACGGTGGAAGGTTACTTTACTTTAAACTCACTTCTGCAGGTTTAAACAGTCCGAAAAAAATCCCCCTTCTTCTCCTGCTGTCGAAGGGGGGTTCCACAATTTTAAATGATGAAATCCAATCCTTTAGAGGCGATTTCCTGAGCTGTAGTTTATGTTGTCTTTGCTTTATTCTGTCTACAAAAGAACGGAAGGCTGACTTCCTGTTTAGACCTTCCCGTTTCAGTACCAAATTAAAATAATTTTTTAAGCCCAATTCCTTTCTGCTCGCAAGTCCTTATTTAAAGTCCAGTTGTTCAAAGTTTAAGTACTCACGGGTGCTTATTTTAGAATCCAAATTGTCCCAGGAAAAAGGCAGCGCTCTCCGGCAACGGCTATGCGGCTTCACTCCACGGAAATAGCATTTGACTCACAGCACCGCACCACTTCCCCCTCTTCACTTCGGAGCCCGTTAGTGGGTTCCTTTGCGGGTTGGGGGGGCGCTAAAGGTGCCTGCCGAGTCCCATGGTCACAGGCTTCATCCACCTGTGATTTTTAAAAGGGTCCCCGCTTCGCCGTAGCAGAGAAGACCCGTTTCGCGCGGAGCTAGTCCCTCCAATTCAGAGGGAGTCCACCATTGCCGATGGCGCCACCCCGGAAGTCTCCTGCTTCAATCCATTCTGAAGCAATGACTAACACTATTTCTTCTTCTTCTTCTTCTTCTTCTTCTTCTTCTTCTTCTTCTTCTTCTTCTTCTTCTTCTATTTCCTTGATTTGCTGCAGTATGCCATGAACCCAAGAGCAATTTCTTTTAATTCCCATAATTGTCCAAGTCCCTTTTCCCCTTTATTTTGTTGGTTTGGAAATCTATTCATAGCCAACAGGGAAGAAAGCCGAAGATAAAGAACTTATAATTATATGATCTGAAAAGCATCCCTTGAATTTGCAGCTAATGGAGCTTAATGGTCAATCTTGTTACTTTTCGTTTTATGTAAAAAATAAAATGTGGGGGAAAATCAACAGCGGCAGGAGGGGATACAGTTGTTTTCTGCTTCACAGTGTTAGGAGGCTTTTGCTGTTAGACTCCAGGAATGAACCAAGCATGAGTTTGGCTAAAGTCAGGCATAGGCAAACTCAGCCCTCCAGATGTTTTGGGACTACAACTCCCATCATCCCTAGCTAACAGGACCAGTAGTCAGGGATGATGGGAATTGTAGTCCCAAAACATCTGACGGGCCAAGCTTGCCTATGCCTGGCTAAAGTAAAGGACCATAAGAAACAAGACTCCTGCCTTGACCTTCTGGCTAATGGGATCAAGAGGGTCTAGATAGTTCTTATTCACATAGAGAGCTAGGTTGCAATAACAACAATAAGGTAAAATGATTAGTAAACCTCTCTGCCTTGGGCATTTCTTTGACTTGGCATCACCACCGAAAAGGCCCTGTCCATGATACTTCTTGTAGTGGTGTTGTGAATAGGAGTGTGGCAATCAGAACCGTTTCTGTGGTTTATTACTGAAGATCATGGCACGTGTAAAAAGCTTGGCATAACTTAATGAGACAGGAGATCTCCATTATGAATTTTCTTGACCCTGTTACCAATCTTATCTCAAACCTGCCCTGGAAGACATTGAGGAGACATCCCGAGCTCCTAATACCTTGTATAAAGATCAACACATGTAATTTATGTAAAAGAACACTGTCAAAATATCAATCCATTGGCAGGTTTCAATTGAGTTTCTGTGTGTAACTTTATAAAATGTAAAGTTTGCTTTATAAAATGTAAAGTAAGTTAAACAACATGGAGAAAATAAAGTTAAGTGTGTATTCAAGGAATCCAGTTCGGGAACATCATGGGAAGATCGGAGGTCACATTAAATTTAATTACAAAATTATGTACGAAACAAGTATCAATTAAAGAATGGATGATTGCTTATTTTTATTTTGTCTTTAACATCTATTGATTATTTCTGTTATACAGTTTTAAAACTAATAAAGCATTGAACACATGTAATCTAGTTACCAGTAAAATCTTATCTGCACCTCCTGTTAAAGAATGGTTGCTATGCATGGTAAGATTACTTTATTATTATTTTTAAACCCACACTACAGCTTTTTGCACTGCCGTAATACCACAGAGCGACCACTCCAATCCTCAATCCTTCAGCACTGTCACGGCAGTAAGATAACTTTAAGACAGGAAGCAAACTAGGATAACCAGTTTAGTCATTGCTCACCATGACTATATTCTCTCAACTTTCAAGAAAACAAAATTTTTAAAAAGCGAAATAGACAAGAAATGCAGGGAAGAAACAACAGAAATATTGGAATTATGGGAATTGCTCATATATGGTGGAGATGGAACATGAAAAAGTTTTCCCGTGTCTACATGGTGGTGGTAAGAAAAAGGTAGCTCAGTCTTTACAGTGACCAGGCAAACCCAATGAAGAGTATTGATTTGCAAAGAATAATTATGGGGAGACAATCAGTTTTAATCAAATAATAGTAATAATCAGGCATTTTTTCCAGCTGGAACCTCTCAGATGGGCACCAATGCCATTATAAGAGAACAAGGGAGGTGTTCATGGTGAGTTTCTGCACCTCTTTTTCTAGTAAACTAGAAATAATAACAATAACAATAACAATAACAATAATAATAATAATTGTACCCCCGCCTACCTAACTTGGTTGCCCTATCCACTCTGGACAGCTTTCAACAAATATAAAAGCATAATAAATCATCAAACATTTAAAACGTCCCTATACAGGGCTGCTTTCAGATGTCTTCTGAAAGTCAGATAATTGTTTATCTCACTGACATCTGATGGGAGGGCATTCACAGGGTGGGTGCCACTACCAAGAAGGCCTTCTGCCTGGTCCCCTGTAACTTCACTTCTCGCCATGAGGCCCTTGCAGCTGGATCTCAGTGTCGGAACTAGATATTCCCATCACATCTATGAGCATCTATCTGTCTGTCTGTCTATCTATCGATCAATTATCTATCTATATCTATCTATCTATCTATCTATCTATCTATCTATCTATTGTTCTATTATCACTCTCCCAAGAAATGATGTGCATGAAGTCTAAGAAATCTGTAGGGAGAGCCAGTCCTCCTTGCTCCAGGGTTGCTGAGAACTTTGTAGATAAGCTTTAGTTGGTTCTATGTGAGATAAAGTAGAAAGAGGTATTTTACCACTGTCCACTTTTCCCCCCAGGCTGTATACTGAAAGTGAGTGTTTAGGTGTATAAAGCCTTTATGTCATTAAGATAAACAATCTAATCCCAAGTGATCCATTGTGAGCATGGCATAGGCAGTGATGGATGAGGAGCTATCTTTCATTGTCTACATTGTCATGCATCACGGCATATGAAAGAGCAAGTGTTAATTTTCATCAAACGTTTAGCTATAATTCATACTTTGGTAATGTTCTCAAATTGTTAATTGAAATCTTTAACCTTGCAGAAGGTTCCTCTCATAATCCCTTGGATGAGCTTTTGCAGTGACAAATGGAAAAGTGAGTGTGACATTGCCAGAACACTATTCTCACTAGAACAGTAAAAGTCTGTTGCTCATATAGTCTCCCAAAAGATCATCATTGCTTTAGACATTTTGAAAACTGGCTTGGACAAAGTACTGGAAAATATCATGCAGGAAATCATGATCTATTGGATGTGGGGAGAGAGCAGATGTTCTAACTGGTCTGTTCCAACACTAATTTTCAATGAGTTGTTGCTGTCTTTGTTTAATTTGACTGCCTTGTAGTGGTAAATAATCCGGGTCAGAGCTCTGTGAAAATGCAAATGGTCGTCACTAACGTCTAAAGATGGGTGAATCTGTAAATTTCAATTTCTCTCTTTCTCATTCTTTAATCTTAAGTTAATTTCTACACATTTCCATGTCAGGTTTTTTTTTGATGTCCTTGTAATGCCAACCTAACAGCTCAAAAGTACACAGTGCAAGTAGATAAATAGGTACCGCTCTGGCGGGAAGGTAACTGGCATTTCCGTGCATTGCTCTGGTTCGCCAGAAGCGGCTTAGTCATGCTGGCCACATGCTGTACGCCAGCTCCCTCGGCCAATCTCCCTCGAAATGAGCGCCGCAACCCCAGAGTTGTCCACGACTGGACCTAATGGTCAGGGGTCCCTTTACCTTTTTAATACGTTATTTTGTGGCTGGAGAATTGCATTGCAAAATTCACAGAGCTGTGAATTTTGAAGGATGGATGTGTTTTGATTTACATATTCTTTCAGAAAATGTAATTAGGTACGATCTCCTCTAAGTGTAAACTGATTCACATTTCTGCCACACACCTACTAACTTCTGTATGGTACTTTCTAAGTGTTCACATCCCTTATGCTGAAGATATTTGCCCAACAGGTCAAAAAGTACTAAATAACAGTTTATATCAGAGTTATCCAATCTGGTGCCCTTTAGTCATTGTTGACCTCATCCCTGACCATTGTGCATGTCATGGTGACTGGAGCTGATGGGAGTTGTGGCCAAACAACACCTGGAGAATATCACATTGGCCACCTTTGGATTATATGAAGACCAATATGTGGAAGATAGAACGCTGTTTCTCCAATTTAAATTCTCTAGATGGTATCATTTTGGAAGGGGAAGTGTCAATGGAGATACCTTGAAGGTTTGAAATTCATTCCCTTGTATGGTGCTTTCCTTGAGCTACTTTTTCATATTATGCCTTCTGCCGTATCAGATGGCAGATGCAAACATGTTCCTGCCTCACAGTGGATTTGTATCTGTAATTTGAATCAGATTAAGGATGTAATTAGTTATGTCCTGAAATGTCCCTCATATGGTGGGCCAGGGGAAAGAATATTGAGAAAGTCTTTGTCTGTATTAACAAGCAGTTTTGTTCAAGAAATTTTATCACATGCAGAACAAGCTTCATACAGGTACTCACCATGGTTGCTATTCCTCCACAAATTCTCCAACGTTTTGAATTTAACATTTCTGAACAAAATCTGGCACTTTGAACTGAGTTCCTCTAAACATGTTCATATACTCCCAGTCCCATACAAAAACCACTAACTTTATTGTTTGAAGGGCCTAAGGGACAAAAATCCCTGCCCATGTGAAGAGTGAGCAGGATGTAGCCTCTCATCCTTTTAAAAAGCATGTGGGCATGTCCTCTTAATTTAGTTTCCTGTGGCATTTCCTCAATCCTCATTTGCTGAAGTTTTGATTCATGCTCATGTGGAGTTTTCTTTCTTTCTTATATGCTGTATTCTGCCTTGCTATCCTCTTTATTAAACTAAGGGTTTTTAATCTGTAAATAATTCCCCCCTTTCTTTCTGTTGTTTTCCCCGTCCACTGGGTCTAAACTGACATTGTAATCTCTTTGGTGCAGAGAGCTGTCTTCAGAGCACCATGTGCATTAATAAATGAAGATACATTGCAAACCTTGTCAAATTTCCCTTCCATTTGGCAGTTCCTCCTGTTTGGGGTTGTTACTTATTAAACACATTGTTCAAGTTCTTCTAATCTCGGTCTCGCTGCTTCTCAATGTGCTGAACAAACAGCATGAGAAAATAATTTTCCAGGCACTTGTAAAAGACACGCTGAATGCATGCTGTGTTTCACACAACAATGTTGGATCAGTTCACTGTGAAGCCTTAGGTGAAATCCTGACTCTGCTGAATTTAATAAAACTCCTGTTAACTTTGGAGAGTCAAGACCTCCACCCCACCCCCTAATTCATTTTAATTAGAGTGTTACAGCCAACTTGTCTTAAGTTATCTTTCTCATTAGGTAGATGTCCTCTTTAAATTTAATTTAGTTGAATGCTACAGAACTGTGCCTCCCACTGAAGTCTTCTAGGATGTGTGCAACTGTCCTGCAAAACTCTTGGGTGAATCCTGATAGATGTAGTTTAAGATGGTACCAAAGTATGACTGATACACAAGAATACACTTCATATTAGCTTTATAAAACAGTTGTGGCATTCGTTCACATGTGTTGCCTTCTCTAGCTCTTAGATGACACCATGTCCAGGACAATTTACATTCATCCCAAATGTATCCACATCAAAGAACTTTCCTTAATGCATTTCAGATTATTGGATTTGGCCGTATCTTTTCTGCAACACATACTCTCATTTAGTTCCCTTTTATTCCATTACGGTAAAAATGTGTAGTATTCAGTGTTTTGTTCAAGAATGGAACATTTGATGGCCTGTGTCGTTAGATTTGCAACGTAAATCTAGTAAAGGTAAAGGGACCCCTGACCGACTCGAGGGTTGCGGCACTTATCTTGCTTTATTGGCTGAGGGAGCCGGCGTACAACTTCCGGATCATGTGGCCAGCATGACTAAGCTGCTTCTGGCGAACCAGAGCAGCGCACGGAAACGCCGTTTACCTTCCTGCTGGAGTGGTACCTATTTATCTACTTGCACTTTGACGTGCTTTCAAACTGCTAGGTTGGCAGGAGCAGGGACCGAGCAACGGGAGCTCACCCTGTTGCGGGGATTCGAACCCCTGACCTTCTGATCATCAAGTCCTAGGCTCTGTGGTTTAACCCACAGCACCACCCACATCCCTTAACGTAAATCTTGTTGTTTAGTCGTTTAGTCATGTCCGACTCTTTGTGACCCCATGGACTAGAGCACATCAGGCACTTCTGTCTTCCACTGCCTCCCGCAGTTTGGTCAGACTCATGTTTGTGGCTTCGAGAACACTGCCCAACCATCTCATCCTCTGTCGTCCCCTTCTCCTTGTGCCCTCAATCTTTCCCAACATCAGGGTCTTTTCCAGGGAGTCTTCTCTTCTCATGAGGTGGCCAAAGTATTGGAGCCTTAGCTTCATAAATCTAGATGCGTATAATTAGTGGCAATCTAAAAACAATGATGCATGCTTATTCCAGTTGTGGAAACAGTGTGCTACCCAGACCTGCTTTTTATAGGGGAGATTGCATTGAAATAAATGTGCACTGACTCAACATATAGAGAAAAGGGCTCACGGGCGTGCTACAGTGTCAGAATACTGGGGACAGTCATTGTGTCACCAAGTGGGCAGAATGCCCAGAGAGCTGTTAATGGCTCACTGCTCCTGACACCACTGTCCTGCATTCACTTTTCTCCTACTCCCATAAGAAGCGAAGGCAGGGGAAGAGCTTCCATGTATGAGGGCCCAAGTATTATTTTCAGACAAGGTTCATGACTCCATACCTCATATTTAGGTATTAAGCCATACCACATGAAATATTTTTTTAAAAAATTCAGGCATCAATGACATCTACACATTCAGCGCCCAACTAAACACACGCTGTGAAGAACACTTGCTTCCAGTTCTAGTTCCGTGCAGTTTCCTTCCCTCCAAAATTGATTAAAATGTTAATTATCCCAAACACATGCTTTGAAAGTAGAATATAATGAATCATGCAGCATATAGTGGTTGGTGTATATGGCCTTAATCATGTGGCAAGCATAGGCAACTCATCTGTGGCCATCTTACATTGTGCAGCATTCATGAAAATCAAGAGGATATATGTCAGGAACTGGACTGACCACCTCCCCCTTCTCCTGAACCTTCCCGAGAAGAGGAGGACAGTATAGACTTACAATGGTGGTTTGCAGAGGGTCACAGCTCAGAGAGAGAAGAGGGGCAAAGCTAGGAGATAATGGGAGATGCAGAGCAGGAACAGCTGGCTGACATGTTATCACTAGAGAGCATTCCAGACCCCCCTTCTCCCAGAACCTGGTGAGCAGTGAAAGTCAGACAGGCAATTGACCCTAAGCAGACACCATAAGGAAAGTAGAGCTACTGATGACTGAGAAGGGAATGGGGGAGGAGATTACTTGGAGCAACGCCATTATCCAAGAGACGGCATTTCTATCTCTCTATGAATATTGAATGAAAGACCTTGGTAAGAGCTTCTTGTCTTTCCTTTACTGGCAGCCTGCCGGGGGTAGCCAATGTGGTGTTCTCCAGACTTTGTTGGACTCCACTCCCATCAGCCCCATCCAACATGACCATGGACCTGGAGTCCAACAACATCTTCAGGGCACCATATTGACTACCCCAGTGTTGTCCAATGGAAGCAGAAGCTTCCTAGTGTTTTCCATGCTGCTGGCCAATGTTCATCTAAGCAAGACCACTCCCCACCCCCAAAGTTAGTGATAGCTGACCAGGAATTCGTTATAAATTAGATCACATAGTTCTTGAGAACATATGTTTGATTATCACCATCAGGAATGATGTGTGTCTGGACTAGTTTTATTCCAGGACAGCAAGCAATATGTCTTTGCCAAACAAAAACAGATGTAATTGCTAAACAAGATTTCAAGTAACAAATTTCATTTTAATCACAAAAAAGAAAGCTCTGAGACATTTTTTCAATTACAGGAAGCCATTTTATTATTATTTTTCTCCAGCTGGGTATCCCTGCTGCTTCCTGAAATTACATGTAAATTGTCCCAGATTTTTGAAGAGGTGTACCTACTGAGGTTTTTCTTTTGTCAGTTGATGAAGTGTCTCTAATTAAAGTAACTAACTTAATCAGCAATTATAAGATAGTTTGCCCCAACCTGTGTATTTTTGGGACTAGAAGAAGAGTTTAAGATTTTAAAACATTTTGGCTATCCCTAGTGACATTATTCTTCCTAATTAGGCTTTGGTGTTGGAAACAGGTCACCTTTTCTGCAACAACATCAAAAAACAATTCAGGAATGGATGCAGCAACTTTGGAAATGAGAGTCTAGTTGAAGGTGAGGGAATAAGGTCAATCCTGGTTTTTTTAAAAAAACAGGCAGTAGATATATTGACACACGTATGCACATACACAGAGAAAGAGATTATATGTGGTATAATTGAATGCATTTCTTTCTTACTAAGATCAAGACTTACCGGTACATTGTATGGATTTCTTGTGTTTGGGCTGTCTGGAAATGAACAGAATGGTAATCTTTAATAATAATAATAAATCCTTACATATCAAAACATGGGATTTCAGGGGAGAAAACTAAGCTAGAGCTCTATCTTCTGTGTACATAGACATTCTTGTAGTGAGAATGTCACTACTTGCAGCTTGACCAGCAGTTCTCTGCTAAAGCAGGCCTTAGTGAACGTCCAAACATTCAGAATGAATGAGGACTTCCATCTAATTGGATGTCTAAAAAGTGAGAGAAAATTAGAAGTATATATTAGGCAAAAGCTATGGTTCCACTCAAATGGCTGATTGTGTGAATCTAGTTGCTGCATTTAGGCTGATACCTTGTTCTATTCTGGTAAGAAACAAAGGCAGGAAATTGTTTTCAAAACTTGTGGAGGACCTTTTCTCTTTGTGTTTTGAATACAATCCTGTGGAAATGCCCAAATCTTTGGGCCTCTACAGCTAAGAAGTGCTTCCTGCTTCATTGCACCAACAGAACCTGAACGATGAGTGTCAGGTTGTACAGCAAAATATTCTATCAACCCCAAGGCTATTGTCTGCAGAAGTTACAGATCCTTTCATTTGATACATGTAAGGCAAGTCAATAAAACTGTAATGTGCTGATGATTATGATTCTACAAATTTATAGATTAAAAGCATTGAAAATATGTACAAGATATGAGCATAATAACTTGGGTACAATTAGACCTACCTGAGAACTTCCACAGTGGGAATTTCTACTTTTTTTCTGTATACAATAATCTAGTAATCATTACTTAATTTATTTATTTGATTCCATTTATGACTTGCTTTCCATCAAGTATTTCAAAGTGATTTCCTGGTATACAGTATCAACAATAAATAAAATAAAATAAAATGTAGGAAGAATTTAAAACAATTCCATCCACTCAAACAATAACTATTGATCTATAAAACAATGTAATGTGGAAAGACCATTTCTAATAGCAATAATAATTAATACATCTAATGCAGATGCAGACTATGAAAAAGATCTCCTACTGAAAAGCTGATTTAAATAGGAAGGTCCAATCAACACCAACAAGACAATGGAGATGGTACATGCCATGAATGATGTGTAATAGGAGAATAGGTGCCAGTACACTAAAGCCTGATTCCTATATTGTACATGACTGATGAGATGGTATCCGCAGAAGGCCCTCTCCTGTACCACAGAGCTATCAAATGGGTATATATAGGATGAAATGATCATTTAGATATCACAAGCTACAATTTGAAAAGGGGCTTAGTATGGGGTGCCTGCTGCTGTCTGAGAAACCACAAGTCTAGAACCCCTTGGGAAACATGGAACTAGCAATTATTTGGATGCTAGCCTACATCTTTGGTTATCAACATGCTTCGATTTATCTTGTGAAAAGTGTGTCTGCTTTCTTTCTTTCTTTCTTTCTTTCTTTCTTTCTTTCTTTCTTTCTATCATATACTTGGCAGAGAATTGCTATGTGATTGTAGGTAAGCATGCAAACTGTGATGCAGAAAGTTGTAGAGACATTTGACTGTTGCCCTTCGAATGCTCTTGAGTTGTTATATAGCTATTAAGAACTGTTAGCAGATCCTTTCACAAATCAGCCTTCAACCGTCTGCATTTCAAACTGGCATGCCAGATTGCAGAAGAAAAAATGCCGTAAATAGCAAAAAAGGATTTTTTAAAAAAAGTATTTCCACATTAGTTGGTTTAACAGAGATTAACGAAATCCTGTAATATCCTTCCAGACACGTCACTTGTGAAAATTACATTGAATGCATTTCTTATTAAAGATTTTAAATGGCTCAAATCAGGAGGAAGGAAAACTATTAGGAATATGTTTCAACTCATAATAACTACATATGATTTCATTTTTGTGTGTTCAATAGTTATAAAAATCAGATATGCATCCTAATGATTTAATAGTATTCTCCCCAACCACCCACCACTGCCTCTTTTCGCTGTTGAATGAAAACTGATGCTTGAATGTTCTTGATGAAAACATGGCATAATTGGATCCCACTGCTCAATTACAGGATAAAACAATTTATAAAATGTGTTGTACGTTTGATGATTAATCAATGCTAATGGAAAGAAAGAGACAGTGTCTTAGGCTCAATATTAAAGTGGTCAAGGATAGAAATGCACATTTGGGACAACGGAATATTGACCGAGTTCAGTTGGATCCAAACCAGTGTAGCCACATTGGCTGAGTATGCAGAGCTATGTCCAGTCAAACATTTGCACACTGAAGAATACTTTTGAACATGGAACTCTTTGCTAGATCAAGGTGTGCAAGAAAACGAAAATAAATTAATTTACGGAAGGTATGTTACTTTACCATTTGCTCAAAGGGACTTACAAACAATTTTAAACTTAAGAAAGTGTTTAAAAACACTTTTTATAAGAAACCAGAAGCTTTCCTGCTAGGTATTCTAGGAGAAGAGATTCCCAAGTAAGACTATACTCTATTTTTATATGCTACAACAGTGGCAAGGATTTTGTTAGCCCAGAAATGGAAGCAGCAAGAAATTCCGATAGTAGAAGAATGGCAAAATAAGATGATTTAATATGTAGAACTGGCAAAACTGTCTGGGAAAATCTGAGACCAGCGAGACCAACGGTTTGAAAAAGACTGGAGTAAATTTATTATGTGTTTGAAAGAACATTGTAAATATTTAACAACACTAACAGGATTGAGCTAAAGGTTTGATAGCCAAAAGTAGACACTTATTTACAATTAAAAGGAATATCAAAGCAAAAAGAAAGGTAGATAGGGGGAATGAGAAATGTGGATGAAATTATGATTGGAAGCTAGAAAGTAAGTTTGGAGGGATGGGGGAAGTTGACGACTCGAGAGTGTCAAATATAGGAGATGATAAGAGATGTAAAAATTGTATGGTGTTTTTTGAAAATGAAAATGCTAATAAATATTATTAAAAAGTGCAACAGGCAAAAAAAAAGGGACTTACAAACAATTTTAAAATATAGATGAAACAAAAGCATTAACAAAATTCAATCAGGCTAAAAAGCCACGTAAACACTGAGGCCTGGTGGAACAGCTCTGTTTTGCAGGTCCTGTGGAAGGATGTCAAGTCCCGCAGGGCCCTAGTCTCTTGTGACAGAACGTTCCACCAGATCGAAGCCACAGCCAAAAAGCCCTGGCTCTGATTGAGGCCAGCCTAACCTCTCTGTGGCCTGGGACCTTCAAGATGTTTTTGTTTGAAGACTGTAAGTTCCTCTGTGGGACATACCAGGAGAGGCGGTCCTGTAGGTACGAGGGTCCGTATAGGGCTTTGATGCTTGCCACCCTGCGCTGTTTTGAGGTAAGTGCCGATGCGGCCTTTTGGCCTCAGACACTTAGCAGGGGTTTTCAAATGGCCATGCGGGCCAGATTTGCGATGCTTTCAGGCCGCATCCAGCCCCCAGACCGTAGTTTGCCAACCCCTGCTCTAGTTCATGACACATCTAAGCTCCTACTATTGAGCTGGGAGGGGGTTACATTTCCAGGGGTGGGGTTACCACGTGCAAAATGTAGGTGCAGATAAAACATGGTGGGCGTCCTTTGCTGTGCAGATTCATTTTTAATAGAGGAATAGTATTCATACCAAATTACGGTTGCTATACCTTCCTTTCACCTTGAATGCCAGACTGCATTATATCATTAATAATAATGGATGGTTGTATTAGAATGAGCATTCAGAAAGTATATAAATAAACATTATGCAAACAATAATTACAGCACAATGTGAGTGGTGAGTCTTGTTATCTTTGGTACAGGTTCCTTTGACTTTCATTTGAACTAATTGCATCTTTAAAAGAAAACACGATTAATATTAATGCTTACTTCAAAGTGTTGCTGCTGACCTTTAAAGCCCTAAACGGCTGCGGTCCAATATATCTGAAGGAGCATCTCCACCCCCATTGTTCTACCTGGACACTGAGGTCCAGCACCGAGGGCCTTCTGGCGGTTCCCTCACTGCGAGAAGCCAAGTTACAGGGAACCAGGCAGAGGGCCTTCTTGGTAGTGGTGCCCTCCCTGTGGAACACCCTCCCACCAGATGTCAAAGAGAACAACAACTACCAGACTTTTAGAAGACATCTGAAGGCAGCCCTGTTTATGGAAGCTTTATTGTTTGATGTATCACAGCATTTTAATATTTTTTTGGAAGCTGCCCAGAGTGGCTGGGGAAGCCCAGCCAGATGGGCGGGGTATAAATAATAAATTATTATTATTACTAAAGTAGCCTTAACATTCTCCCTGGGGGAAAAAAATGAAATAAGCAGATGCAATTCTCTGGTAATGTTATCTATCAAATGGCATAAGATATTTAATATCATGTCATAGGTATCAAAGGTGGTTTTCTAACTGTTTTGGGGGACACCTAGGTTCTTGGAAGTTTATCAGGGATCCTTTAGTGAGAAGATCATGAATTGTGGACAGGTTTCCCTGAAAGTCAGAATGCCGATCGCTGCATCTTCTCTTACATTGTGAAATTACAGGGAACAGTCCTAGGGAACACACTAAATTTCTGCTGAGTGTGGTTCAGCAATGGCCTTTTCAAATCTATATTTTATTGATTTTCCCCCACATATTATGGTAAGTAGTGTACAATAGAATAGAATATACTATTCTGTTGTGCATACTATTCCACCCACTCCTGGTTCCCTCTGGCCTTATGCTCTTCCCCACCCGCTTTAGCTGCAGTATGTTCGTCTCTGATATTCAGTTGCTTAGCATGCTATGCAGTGTTCAAGTTTACATGCTCAGATAACAGTTAGGATAAATGAGGGTAGAAGCCCTGCTGGAGACACAGATTAACATCCATTAACCTGGGGAAGTTTCCATCTCTGTCTTTTACCTCCTACGGCTTCTAGTTGTGGATATTACTTGGTTGAGAGTTCCAAAAATGCACTCCAGATCACTTGAAAACTTTTCATTTTATGTCGTTTCTGTAGAGCAGAATTTTTTTTATGGGCTGCTAGTTGCAGCTTTCTGTGCTTGGTGTGGTCCAGGTTTTTCAGTGATGAAGGATTGTTCATTTTGCTATCCCTGTGTTTGGTAGAACCTGTCCCTTTTATAATCCCCACCCAGCACAGGTAAAGGTACCCCTGACCATTAGGTACAGTCACGGACAACTCTGGGGTTGCGGCACTCATCTCGCTCTATAGGCCAAGGGAGCCGGTGTTTGTCCTCACACAGCTTCTGGGTCATGTGGTATGACAAGCCACTTCTGCCGAACCAGAGCAGTGCACAGAAATGCCATTTACCTTCCCGCCTACTTGCACTTTGACGTGCTTTCGAACTGCTAGGTTGGCAGGAGCAGGGACCGAGCAACAGGAGCTCACCCCATCGCGGGGATTCGAACCACCGACCTTCTGATCAGCAAGTCCTAGGCTCTGTGGTTTAGACCAAAGGGCCACCCTGTGTTTGATAGAGCCTATCTCTTTTATAATCCCCAGCCGGCATGTATGTAGCCAATTATTGTGCTGGTGTCTCCTATTAGCAGGGATTTGTCCAGAACCTGGATGATTATGGCCAATATTTTCTTCCAGAAGGGTTGGATTACTGGTTAGTTCCATAGTAGGTAAATTGGGTCTGCTTGCAGCTATTTAAATCTCCAGTCATCTTTTGGTGTTGTTGTGGAACTGTGACCCTTTGAGGGTTGTTGTCCAGTGGAAGTGAACTAACTAGACAATGGGAAGCAAAGTAAGGATTTCATTCTTGTACAAGAATGGTGTTGCATTCTGCTTTTTCAGAGTTATCCTATCAGGCTTTTTATGTCAGCTGGATGAACAGACATTTGGCAAACCTAATTGCTTCACTTATTTTCCTCCTCCCCTAAGTAGCTAGTCCTCTGTGTGCCTGTGAGAAGTGGTCACACAGCTATATCCGGTGCCATTTTTCTAGAAAAAGAGGCACCGGAACTCACCATGAATGCCTCCCCAGTGTGGTGTAGTGGTTAAGAGCAGTGGACTCGTAATCTGGTGAACCGAGTTTGATTCCCTGCTCCTCCATATGCAGCTGCTGGGTGACCTTGGGCTAGTCACACTTCTCTGAACTCTCTCAGCCTCACTCACCTCACAGAGTGTTTGTTGTGGGGGAGGAAGGGAAAAGGAGATTGTTTGCCGCTTTGAGACTCCTTAGGGTAGTGATAAAGTGGGATATCAAATCCAAACTACTACTCCTCTTCTGCTTCTTATAACAGCAATGGCACCCACCTGGGAGGTGCCAGAACTGAGTTCCAGGGAGTTTCTGCTGAAAAAAAGCCCTGGCTATATCAGAAAACAAATGTATGACTCCTTGGTAGACCACAGAGGGATTTCCCAAAAGAATTGCATAAAGAATTTGAAACAGCAACAAGTGATATTTGCTGTGTAAGCGCTGTAACTCGCACAGGTGCTAAGCAGAAAGCCAGCCTAGAGGGACTGTGAATAAGTTAATGCTTCTCATTAAAGAACGGGGTTGCCTGCTGAAATTCCATTGCTTTTCCATGTTACATAATGGCCATTGACTGTTGTGCTGCTGACTGAGGAGTTCATGACTGTGGAATTAAACTGACACCCAGCCAAAGGTGAAAAGTGGTAGTTAATGAATTATTCTGAAGGAACGAAAAGGTTAGGAGATGGATTTACTTAGCAGTTCCGGATTAGGGTTGGCTAACATTTGTCACCTTGAAAATGCCAGGGAATTTTCAATTGGCAGTTTGATAGATTGCATATGAGATTTGGTTGGAAGGGAGAAGGATAAGAAGCAAAAGAGAGACAGAAAAAGCCAACTTGAAGTATGACTGCAATGTAAGCTTAAACAAGTTTTCAAACTCCTCACAGTTCTCAACCATAATTCCTTTTAAGCTGTGGCTCCATGAAGAAACCAGGAGTATTTATTTTATTAATTTAGATTTATAGATCACTTAATTAAATTTTAAAAATATCCATGTATTTTGAAATATTGCAGATAAAAGTAAGAAAATAGCAACCACGTCATAAAATTTAACAAAGAACTACCTAAGCAAAAGTACAGTATTCAAAGCCAGGACAGTTAAATTGGCTTCAGAACTATTTACAAGTACAGAATAGATGTACTTTAGGGTTGCCTGAATGCATGCATCCAGTGTTATAGATCTTCCCAGTCACTAGATTCAGGATCTACAGCCAAACAATAACATAAAGGGCTCCACATCTTCTCTGGGGGAATGGGGGAAAACCCAGAGCACATTTGAGGGGGTGCAGTAGTGCACCAGGAGAGGGGACAAAGAGGAAGTTCCACTGAATGAGCAAAAGTCGTTCTATTTGTGCAATAACTTGGTTCAGTGCCATCAGTTTTCCCAAGGTTGAAAACTTCTGAAATCCAAAAGCACTTGATATATAATTTAATCCATAAAAAAAGAAAGAAATAGTTTGATGTGATGCAGCTCCTGCTTCATGCTGGAATCCTTTGTCTTTGCATGCCTGCATGAAAGGCTCTTGCAGACTAGCATGGAAGAGTCAGAGACCTTCATTGTGGTGTGTTTTGATCAAAACTGCTACCATAGATGGATGGTGTGCTTTGCTCAGGAGGTCAAAAAGGGTAAAGGCCTGACTTTTAGACTTTCTTGCTTTAAGAACTTAAGGATATACTTTTCTAAAATCCCATTTCTTTCAATATGTAGGCCCTGTCCTTATGTAATACTAAGCCAACTCTGGCTGAATGCAATCACACAAACATGATGGCACTTGGGAATGAGATTGCCCACTCTTTTCTCTCAGGTTTTTATCTCAGGATAGCATGGCTTATACTTACCTAGTGTGTCATCCGAATGTGGGAGAATGGTAAAGCTCTCTCCACATTTACCATGATCTGCAGCAGACTCCTGAAGTGTCCATATTTTCCAGGGACAGTCCCAGATTTACAGAAGCTATCCCAGTTTCTCATTTGATCCCAGAATGTCCCACATTTCTTTAGGATGCCCCTATTTTCATCAGAGGGTATGGAGTTATACAACCTCCTAGCCAAGGAGATAAGTAACTACACGACCTTTGGAAGACATCTGAAAGCAGCCCTTTGTAGGGAATACTTTTTAAAATGTTTAATGTTTTATTATGTTTTTATATCTGTTGGAAGCAACATAGAATGGATGGGGCAACCCAGTCAGATGGGTAAGATATAAATAACAAAATTATTCTTATTATTATGGAATAGGTAAAGGACCCCTGACAGTTAAGTCCAGTCACGAATGACTCTGGGGTTGCAGCGCTCATCTCACTTTACTGGCTGAGGAGCCGGTGTTTATCTGCAGATAGTTTTTCCATGTCATGTGGCCAGTATGATTAAGCCGCTTCTGGTGAGAACACAGCAGCGCACAGAAACGCCATTAACCTTCCCACCAAAGTGGTACCTATTTATCTACTTTCACTTTCGAACTGCTAGGTTGGCAGGAGCTGGGACTGAGCAACAGGAGCTCACCCCGTCATGGGGATTCGAACTGCCGACCATCCAATCGGCAAGCCCTAGGCTCAGTGGTTTAGACCACAGCGCCACCTGTATCCCTATTATGGAATAGGACGTCTCTATTTTCTGTGGATAAATATAGGAGGGTATGCTGTAGCCAAGAACATACTTTGCTTACCCATCATGGTTGAAGAAAAGGCTTAACTATGACTCTGTGCTTAGACAGCATACTGAGCCAAACCTTGGCTTAGCTGCTATGATCCACTGATTTAAAAGGACTAAGGAGATGCAAAATGGGTGTGAGGTCGTCCTCTCAAGCCAGTATGTTTGCACAGTCCTGGTAAGCCACAGCTTGGCTTCCTGTGATGCGCAAACCAGACAATAATGAAAATACTGAAAAAGCACATCCCGGCCAAAGGTGAGCAATTTAAATCCCATTGATTTCAGTGGGAAAGTGTTAAGTACATGAGACTTAAAAATCTTTAACTTTGGCTGAATTGTATCCCAAGTGATTAAAACAGGTTCACTCCATAAACTTTACGGATTAACATTTAGAGGGTTGAATGTGTTGGCTGAAGGCAGTCTTTGTTCCATCTGGTATGCTAGAAATGTCAAAAGCAGTGGCATTCAAAAAAAATTTCATTAGCTGTCCTCGGGATAACTGAAATAACATCTGTAATAGCTGCTAACAACAGTAGGCCTTTTAAGAATAATAAGGGGAAATAACAGATAAAAGGGAGCATGTTCCCACTATGCTTCCCTGGAGTCCTGGAAATAAACAAAAGACAGCACTACATTATTTTCCAAAATGAAAAAGAAGGCTGCGAGCAAGGTCTTTTCCATAGCAAAGGCACTTTACTAGATGCCCTCTGGGTGGTAGGGGTGGGGAGAGACTTTTTAGTTAGGTCAAAAATAAATGCAAAAACATAGGACTAGATTTTAAAAGCCTTTCTTTGAAACTAATAAAAGAAATCAAACAGGGGTGGAAGGATAGCCTCTTACTCTTTCCACTTGTCACAGTCTTGAGGAACTGGCAAGAAAGTTTGCCAGGATTTTAGTCAAGATTAGGAAAAGCATAGCTCTGGAAAGACTCCATAAAATGGCTCAAGGTGCGCAGCACAATTTTATGTATGCTTTCACAGGAACAAGGATGGGGAGGAAATTTGATTCTGATTGCATTCAAATGTAACTTACCTAATATGCCATTCCCTATAAAATATTCGGTCTGCACAATACATAAACCAAAATGCATATATCCTTTGAAATGTGACTTCATTGAATTTTGCCACACAGTATTCCAGCCAGAAACCATACAGCAAAATACATATATTAAGGGAGAGTGTGTATAAAAATGTGTATGTTAATGAAAATTACATACAAAATTACATTATATTAGATAAAATCCTCTGCAAAAATGTGTACATTAGGCAAAGGTGCATATTTAAAAATGTATTAGGTGAAATGCAAACCAAAATGCTGACAAATTTTCATGAAAATTGTTGGGGTTTCCCCACCGAATTATAAACCAATGGAGAAATGTGCTGAACTGAATTTAAGATTGGAAAAACAAGAAACCTGAGAGAAACTCACATTGATAGGTGTCAATCCATACTCAGGAGCAAGGATTGCTGAGAATAAATCCCATTGAACTCAGTGGGGCCTACTTTGGAGTAGACATGCATAGGGCTCTGTCAGAATTTATCAATGGGTGCTTTGAGTACTTAACAGGTCCTATTCTTGCTGATTGTGAACTCAACCAGGCTGGAATTTGCCTGTCATGGTGATGAGAAAGTACTATGAACATCCACTGCACCCTTGTACATACAAATGAACAGCAGAAGCAGCAGTAGCCTGGGGTTCTCAGAAGAAACCCAAAGCACAGAGTTGGGAACTTATACCACAGCATGGGAAGAAAACAAAGCATCTAGCTGATAGGGACTCAGCATGCTGGGAGAGAAGCAACACAAGAACTGTGAGGGACACAATTCCACAGCTCTGGGGAGCAGGAAGGACAAAGATAGGGAACACTTAAGATGTGATTAGACTGGATGGGGGGAAACACGACAGTGGTACATCAGCTTACAGATGCTTCAGGTTACAGACACTTCTGGCTACAGACTCTGCTAACCCAGAAATAGTACCTTGGGTTAAGAACTTTGCTTCAGGATGAGAACAGAAATCATGCTCCGGCGGCGCAGCGGGAGGCCCCATTAGCTAAAGTGGTACCTCAGGTTAAGAACAGACCTCCAGAACAAACTAAGTTCTTAACCCGAGGTACCACTGTACTGTTTGAAACTAGGATCTCTGGTCATCGCCGGAAGGTTTTGGAATTAGTGAAGGAAGGGAGCAAAAACTCACCAGGTCTCTTCTAAAACACTGAGACAGACTTGGAGTTCTGAAGGAAACTAACTGCTGCAATCCCCTGCCCAACTCTCAAATGAAAGAATCTGCAACGGACTGCATCTTTTGTGGATTCAGTATCAATGTGCTGGACCACTTCCAACCCATTGCCACTCATTACCACTTCCAGACACTGATTGATTATGATACTTTGCTACACATCCCCCAATGACTGCTCCCAATGTAGATGTTAAATTACAGGAGCAATGAGATTCAACCCTGAAGGATTTCACAAGAAAATTCTGACACAGCCAAGCAAAAGTCACCGGTCCTTTTCTCTGGAACTGCTCTTGTATGTGGGAGCAGAGCCACAGCAAAGGAGCCCCCCCAACTTACTCAAATCAATATTATCAAAATTTGCTGAAAGGTTACACTTGCTCCCCCTGTGTCCTTTTCCCAACAAAGATCATCAGACACAGTGAGCAAGGCTGTTTAGGTCCTCAAACCAGGCTTGAAGCCAGGTTGAAATGGGTCTAGATAGTTGGCTTTGAGAAAGCAAGCCTTAAGATAAGAAATGCTCTAAAGGAGGAGATGAACCACCCAAGCAGCCCAGGAAGTTGTGATGTTCAATGGCCGTAAGATGTGGGAAGAAACAGCACCAGGCAGGAAGTGTAATGGAAGAGTATGATCCACGAGGACATGGCTGGGCACTGAACATTGTACACCAGCATTCTACATTGGATAGCTCAGTTGGTTACAGCATGGCACTGATAATGCCAAGGTTGTAAGTTCGATCCCCATATATTCCTATATGAAATTATATAGGAATATATAGACTTTGATAACTATCCATTGGATTTTTTGTTTCTCCATAGGTTATGATGCAATTTAAATGTGTCAAAAGGCAATTCAAATACATGTTCTCAGAGAAATTATTTTAGAAAAACTAATGTGGAAATGGAATGCAATTAGGGTTTAAAACATGCAAAAGTGACTTAGAACAAGGATTGCTGTGGGTTTTGCTTAGCACCAGACTGCTGCCTCGCTCTCTTTGGAGCATCACTAGAAGACTATCTTCTGTGGAGCAACTTTAGTTTCCAAGATGAGCGAACCAAGAATCCTACTGTTTATAAAGCTTGTGGGGACAGGAACATTAAAAGGTAGGGAAGTGTGGAATAGTTTTATTAGTCTTTTCAAAATTAGTTTGGCTTTCCTTAAACTCCTCAGTTTTCAGCTACAGCAGGGCATCCACATTTCTTTCAAATTTCAGTGGAAACCCAAGGATGTGATGAACTCCCCCCTCCCCCTCCACAAAGTTTGCTGGTTATTTGGTATCTCTTTGGACTTTGTTTGAAATTCCTCAGATAGCTCAACTGAGGAGTAACACTGAAACTTGTTTCTAATTTCACTTTCAGTGGAATCCTGCTGGCAATACTACAGAAGACAAGATGACTAATTGTGCAAAAATCAAGTGGGAAACTCTGAGTGAATACATCATCTATGGCCCTTGTTTTTCTTTTGCCGGCTATATCAGAGCTCATCCCAAATGTTCCAAAAAGGTATCTTCAAATAGCAGAAAGATGATGTGTGGCATATGGTGATAACCTGCAGCACATGTACGGTGAGATTTAAGATGGCACAAGAATTAGAGATGTCAACTGCTATCTGCTCATGATAAATTATTCCAATACATATATGGGATGGAACACCTCAACTTTCTAAGAGAATTCCAAATACACTTTATTGCCTTTGGTTATGCATCAATCCAGCCTGACTTGAACAGTGAAACCTTGGGCATCTTCCATTCCACTGATGCAAAGAAGCCCTCGAATATAGATAGATGCAAATAGAGTCACAAATAACAAAACAAAAATCCAGCAGTAAAAAAATAGGGCACATATAATATGTGAAAGGATGGAGGATAAAGAGACAGTGGAAATATATGAGAAAGAACTAAAAAATACTACATAAAATTAGCAGGTCATACGATACCCAAGCAGAAATCTACAGTGTATTTAATCATGTGTTTTATTTAGTGAGAAGAACCAGGGCTGCCCTGAATTTTTGCCTGCAAAAGTGTGTTTTCAGAGGATGCAGAAAACTCCACTCCAATTCCATCTTGCGAGATTTTTCATCCGTTTCCCATATCGGCTGCTGCTTGTGGGGCACAGGTTATATTTTCTTCAAGAAAAGATTGCAGCCAATTAGGGATCAATTGTGATGGAGTAGGAAATGTTCTCTTGCTCTTAAGGAAGGTTTTTTTTGTTTTTTTAGAAAGGCTTTTAAAGGACCCCTGGATGGTTAAATCCAGTCAAAGGCAACTATGGGTTGCGGCGCTCATCTCACTTTCAGGCTGAGGGAGATGGCGTTTGTCCACAGACAGTTTTCCAGGTCATGTGGCCAGCATGACTAAACAGCTTCTGGCACAACGGGACACTGTGACGGAAACCAGAGCATATAGAAACCCCATTTACCTTCCTGCCACAGTGGTACCTATTTATCTACTTGCACGGGTGTGCTTTCAAACTGCTAGGTTGGCAGGAGTTGACCTAGCAATTCGGAAGCATTTTGACCTTCTGATCAGCAAGCCCAAGAAGCTCAGTGGTTTAGACCACAGCACCACCCGCGTCTATGCTCTTAAGAACATAGGAAGAGTCTTCCTGGATCAGACCAGTATGTTGTTGTTGCTGTTGTTGTTGTTAATGATACTAATAATAGTAATAATAATAATACCACCCCTCATCTATAGATCTCAGGGTGGTATACAACATAAAAATGCAAGTTAAAAACTCAAGAACATCTAATTCAGCATGCCGTTCTTACAGTGGTGAACCGGATGTCTATGGGGAACCCTCAAGCAAGACTTGAGTGCAACAGCAGTCCCTCCTTCTGAGGTTTCCAGAAACTGGTATTCAGAAGAATATTGCCTCCAATGGTGTAGGAAGAACATAGGGTTAGTAGCCATTGATAGCATTGTTCTCCATGAATTTGTCCTGTCCTCTTCTAAAGACATCAGGTTAGTGTCCATCACTGCCTCTTAGGGGAACGAAATCCATAGTTTAGAAAAGTCCTTTCATTCATTTATCCTGAATCTTCCATCGTTCAGCTTCCTTGGTTATCCATGACATCTAGTGTTATGAGACAGGGAGAAAAACTTTCCTCTAACCACTTTGTCTTTGCTTTGCATGACTTTATAAACTTCTGTCATGTTTCCTCTTAAGCACAATTACTCTAAACTAAAAAAAATAAATACATCAAATGCTGTAACCTTTCCTCATATGGGAGCTTCTCCATCTCCTTTATTATTTTGGCTGACCTTTTCTAAACCTTTTCGAGCTCTTTTTTGAGGTGAGGTGACCAGAGACAGACACTTAATGTTTTAACTGCTGTAGCATTTGCCTGGGTTCTCCAAACCCAGTTACTCAAGATTGTATTTTTCTTTTCTAGGGACAAATCCTACAATAGAGATACAGTGGTACCTCAGGTTAAGTACTTAATTCGTTCCGGAGGTCCGTGCTTAATCTGAAACTGTTCTTAACCTGAAGCATCACTTTAGCTAATGGGGCCTCCTGCTGCCACCGTTCCGCCAGAGCACGAATTCTGTTCTCATCCTGAAGCAAAGTTCTTAACCTGAAGCACTATTTCTGGGTTAGCGGAGTGTGTAACCTGAAGCGTATGTAACCTGAAGCGTATGTAACCTGAGGTACCACTGTGTTTACTTCCCCATATACCTCTATCAACTTATTTATTCATTATTTCAAATCAATAATCCACCCTTCCTCCCACAAAGGGGTACAGGATGAACAACAACAATCATCTTAGGGCAACACCTGCTATTTGCCAAAATTTAAAGAGACCTGTGATACAGTAATGGATCTCAGTCATCTCATCTAGTTTTGCCTTAAGACACAAAATTGATCGAGGGAGGCGAAGATGCACACACACCTCTATTTTGTTTAAAAGGAAAATACGTATCAGAGCTTCAAAAGTTCATGAGTGGTTGACCAAACTCTGTTTCATCTTAGGAAAGCCATATTTTTCCCTTGGGAGAAATAAATTTAAAAGTTAATACCCCAAATCAATGCAGATCCAGCTAGAACTGTAGTCTGCTATTTCCATCTAATTTCACATAGCCTAATTCTAAATGGGACACGGGTGGCGCTGTGGGTTAAACCACAGAGCCTAGGACTTGCCGATCAGAAGGTCGGTGGTTCGAATCCTCGCAACAGGGTGAGCTCCTGTTCCTCGGTCCCTGTTCCTGCCAACCTAGCAGTTTGAAAGCACGTCAAAGTGCAAGTAGATAAATAGGTACTGCTCCGGCGGGAAGGTAAAAGGCATTTCCATGCGCTGCTCTGGTTCACCGGAAGTGGCTTAGTCATGCTGGCCACATGACCCAGAAGCTGTACGCCGGCTCCCTCGGCCAATAAAGTGAGATGAGCGCCGCAACCCCAGAGTCGGTCACGACTGGGCCAAATGGTCAGGGGTCCCTTTACCTTTAAGTATAAACCCGGAAAATAGCAGTATCCAATCTGATATCCTTCAGAAGTTGGATTACAACTCTCTTTATCCCTGACCATTGGATATTCTGCCTGGGTCTGATGGAGGCCAACAGGTCGGGGATACCATGTTGGCTATCCTTGCCATAAAGGGATAGCTATTTCATTTATTTTATTTTATTTTTCATTTATTTAAAGACATTAACATGATTGCAGCAAAACTCCAGTTGCAGACTTATCTGCATCAAGTAGCATCATCCTCCCCCCTTCTACTGTCGTTATGCTAAAGGATGGTTGGTGTGAACTTTACGGTTGCAAATTGTTTCCTTTTGAAATTGCAACCGCACCATTGATATTGTTGCCCAACGCTTTGCAAAAACCTAATGATGTTTCATAATGAGGCACTCGGGACTGCCTTCTTTAATTGAAGCACAAGTGTGTTCTGTCTTATAAGCTGCACGGCCTTTAAAGGCTTCTTCTATATGAACTGATGCTCATTGATTCTAGAGGTTTGCTTTGTACTAATGCATGTTGAATGAAGATTAGCAGTGACACGCTCCTAATGAAAGATCAAATGAATTGCCAGAGTTCACATGAGTGTAAGGGAATTTTTTGTCACTAAAATGTCATTGTAGTCTACCACTTAATCTTAATTAAATAAGTGACAATGAGCCATCTAGCAAGCTATTAAAACTGAACCCAACTCTATTGATTGAAATATAGGTATGCTTACTTCCACGGATGAGGTTCCTCTTCGTTGGCAGGACTGATTTGATGAATCACATATAATGCAATACAGTCTGTCTCAAATATGAAACCAAACTAATTTAGTATTATAAGAGGTATTCCCATGAATAAAAGCTCGCCAAATGCTCAAAGCAGATGTTAGGCAATTTAAGGAGAGACTGGTGAAATCCATACATTACTTGAATGCAGTCCTAAGAGAATCTATAGAGATTTGGCTGATTTTTATCAATCTGGGAGGAATTTCCCTCTCAGGGCATGGAAACCTAGGTGAGCAAAGTCCTTACCTTTCGCAGGTGATTGTATTCAGAATATTGGCTTGTTTGTCCTTACTCTTGAAAACCACATGTACTGATAACAGAGCACCAATATTTAGATTGCTAAGTAGTTTGCTTATTATCTGCACCAATATCAAAGACATTATATTCACTATAAGGAGAAATGTAGATGTAAGGGGCTTTTCTTTCAGTTCATAGAGTTTTGAGCAATTTTCAGAGGCCTTTCTACTTAGAATAATAGCTTTGGAATTGCCCAAGAAAGATGTCAGATTGTTTTTGTATGCCACAACTGCAGCCATAATTTTGCTGGCCAAAAATTGGAAATCATAAAAAGTACCAACAGTGGAGGAATGGCAGATGAAGATGATGGATTTTTCGGAGCTAGCCGACCTGACCGGAAGAGTCCGTGACCAGAAAGAGGAGGAGTACCATGAGGAATGGAAGAAGTTTAAAGAATATTTAGTTAAATATGTTAAAATAAATTAAATAGAATTACTTATGAGTATCAGATTGGCCTAGGATTTAAATATGTGATGTTGTAGAATACTATGGATAAAAGTTAAAATGAAAAGAAAGAAAGAGTTTAATGGATCAAGTAAATTTTATGTGAAACTAGTTTTGGAAAACTGCAATTATGATTTATATGGAAACTCAGGGAGATTTGAGGAAGTCAGCCAACAATGATAGCAAAAGTGGAATTTTTACAGTTAGGATATATGTTTGCTTGCTTGCTTGCTTGCTTTTCTGATGTTTTTTGTCTATGTCTGTGGATATGTTTGTTATAAATTTGGAAAATCTAATAACATTTTTTTAGGGGGAAATAGAGTTTTGGGCAATATTATTATTATTATTGATATAACTAGTTCACAAGCATATAGGATACTATGTGAATGGACATTGCGGCTCAAAGTAATGGTGATATTGCATAAGGTAGGGATGGGAAACCTCTGGCAGTACTACAACTTCCATCAGCCCAGGCAAGCATGGTCAATGATCAGGGATAATGG